TTGTCTTATTTTGTGCATTTTTTTCTCTCTCCAAACTTGATATGACATTTTTTTTTAATAACATTCCAATTAGTTTTGTTTGATTGGTTGTTAGTGTTTTGTTTTTTCTGTAGAAAATGTAAGATTTTATACATTTGTGTTGTTGTGTGTTCACCTCTAGTTGAGTGTGTTAACAAGCCATGCTGGACATGTACACATTAAAAATTGCTCTGAAAATATTTAAAGTTTTGTTTCTTTATGCAACAACTGGTGAAGTACAATGTTCTCTGAACTGTCAATTCTGCACAGCCATATACACTCAGAGTGCACACACCCTCTTCTCTTTTCCTGCGGTGAGGTCACTGTCCATAGGGCCTTGCTTCCTGTCTCACACGGGACAGGCAGCAGAGTGGCTTTATGGGCTATGGGAGGTGGGGAGAGAGGGGTCTGGCTGATTGCCAGGAAGCCACATGAGCAGGGAGGAAGCTAGCAAGCAGCTTGTAGAGCCTATAAGAAACTGACCATGCAACGGTGTCATCACACTGAGAGGAAATACATTGTTCACAGCAAGACAATTCTTTTTTTGTGATGGATTTCATCCAAACACCAAAATTACAGAACAGAGATCGATGTCAGACTTTAATGAGATGTTTTTGTGACTTGGAGTAAGTGGTTTCCAAGACTGAAAATTAAGTGACACCTACTTACATCCCGTCGCAGGCGTAATTGGGCAAAATTGACACCAAACGTCTTCACCTGAGTCCATCAATTGATGGAGGAGCCTAGCTGAGGGCTGCTAGCTGCTACAATGTATTTAACGCTGGGATGAGAAAAAGAAAAGAACACATGCTAGAGACATCTCTAGCATGACTCACCAACTAGAGACTCACCAACTATTGGATGGACAGTTGAAAGTTAGTTGGTGCCCAGAAGGTGAATCCAAACTTAAAGTATATACAGTACATGAAAACATCCAAACCAAGCAAACATTAGCACAGAGGAATATGTCTGTTAAGGCTTTCCACAGGTCAAAGTAGAACATAAGAGAGATGACGTTTGGTGAGCTTGACCAGAGTTCCACGCTGAAGTAGGGCAAGCAGAGAGAGCTGGGCTGGTGACTGGAAGGCAGATTGACGAGGTGCAAGAAGAGGCAGGCAGACAAAGAATCACAGGAAGGTAATGAACCTGGTGAACACACGGAGCTGACGCCGAAATTCCACTGGGCACTGCATTATGACATTGCGTCGTAATGGCTCTATCATTCGGGCGTCTTCAAATCCCATCAAGAGCGTTTCAGAAACGGAGCATTTCGTCTGCCTGACATTGTTGACGTGTATTCTGTCCTTAAAAAGGATAAGTATAGAAACACTTCCAAGATGAGCTTCTCATTGTCCTTGGTGTCAAATCTCCTTAGACTGATTGACTTCTGGCCTGATGCCACAATGTTGATGTAGCATGACATTCGATACTGGAGTCTGTACGTGGTATTTTATTTTGGACATTGACCTGAGGATGTACTTTGGGTGCTAAATGCTCCAGTATGTTCACCAGCTACCTGATAGACTAACTGTGCTAACTGGTTTCATTGTACAGCAGGTTTTTCTCTGTAACCAGCTGCTCACATGAAAACTCTGATAAGAGCGATGACAGTTAACCAAAACAGCTTACTGTCTGTAATGGTCTGTGGAGGTGACGGGAACTGCTCAGTTCATATCTGTGGGGGTGTTACTATGAGACAATTCACATTATGCATAGTTATTTTTAGCATGTAACAGCTTAAAAAAACATTTCCTGTCCTCTGTAGAGTTTAGTCTATGTGAGACATGTACTATTTGTACTGTAACTTGAATAATAAATAAGAAAAATAAATGTAAACTTGGAATAATTGGAGCTACCAATGTCTAGATTAAGAGCCTGTGTTTAGCTGGTCCCATGTCAGATTGTCAGGCCTGTTATAATACTGGAGGAGGATGGATTCCCAACCAGTGTACAAACTTTCCTCCATAGTGACCTAGTTTGAGATGCACTGTCAACCATTAAGTGTTTTTTTTCGTGGACATACCTCTGTACACTTTGTAAACAAAGTTCATTGGTGCATGTAGTGTGTGCACACAGTATTTGGGCATGCCGGCCTGATTTGCACTGTGTTTATGTGCTTTAAATTCTTTCCTGCTGTGTATGTGTGTGTATGTGAAGACTGAGTCTGGCCAGGATCGTTGCTTGTTAAACCTATCTGCTACAGTTATCACCAGGTACACCCTGTGGAGTACGGTAATTACTTGCAGTCATCTCTGTTTTCTGGGTAGAAAATTAACTCGCCCCACAACACGTGTGTGCACACACAGAGGAAGTTAATGGCTAGCAGCTACAGCTAATGACTTAGCTGCAAATAAGATCTGCAAGTGGTAAAGTTGAACCACCTGTTTAAGAATACTTTTACAGTTATACACCTGTTAGGCATCCTGAGTCCTGTATACAAATAGAGTAAATTACTGGTACAGATTTTGAATTTAGTTTATCACTGGAACTTTCTACAAAAGAAATAGTCCCTATGAAGACAACCAGTCATGTAGATTACCTCTTAGATATTATCTATTGCTATTGAATGTCTGGCCTAGAAGTGGGGCTCTAAAGATATCAGTGTCAGCCCAATACTTCAGTTTATGGCTAAATTCCTGCAAAACAACAGTACATACAGCTATATCTCATTTTCATATGTTTGCGTTACGTTGCTGCAATTAACATCAGCTACATCAATATTTTGTGTCTAGTGGCAATTAGCATATGTGAGCATGCTAACATGCTGAACTATGGTAAATATAGTAAACATCGGCAGGTTAGCATTGTCAATGTGAGCATGTCAGCATACTGACATTAGCATTTAGCTCAAAGCACCACTGTGCCTGTGTTTCTCCTCAGAGTAGAGTACAGAACTGTTTTTTTAATCCTGTTCCCGCCAGATTCTGCTGGATAACTGACCTTTAGGTCCACCACTGCACCCGCCAATATTCTGACCATTTGCGCCTGGACAATAGAAATTTTGTGTCTTCTTCTGTCCCACAGGTGAAAAGATGTTATTTTACTACGTCAGTAACAACTGAGAAGTTTCTCCAACTGTCGGACTTGCCTTGCTTTGCTTTCCGGCTTTAATCTTCCTCCCAACTTAATTTGTTGACTCCGTCTCCATCCTGGTGGGCATAAACTAAATCCCAGGACCTGCAGTTTATCTTTTGACCCCCTGCTCCTGCCCGAAGCAAGGTCAGAACTGACTCTTGGTCTTGTTCAAATATTTTGAGACTCACAGATGAAATTCCGTTCACATCCACTGTGTTTGGGGGTTTCAGACATTTCACAGGTGGATATGCCAAAACAGATAAAACTTTAATTAGCAAGTCATGGTTATTGGAGACTTTAAATCTTTAGACCATGGTCTCACTTTTGATACATTTTTAAAAATTAATGTTGAAAAGTAAAAAGTCCAAATGTAATTACATACAGCATGCGTCCTAAAGCAATTTGAGGAAATGTAAAATAGATGTAGACGGGAGTAAATGTGCTATAAATCCAAAGGACTCCAATGTTCTTTTATTTTACTTTTCTGTAGGTGTAACATAATTTATTTAGATTAGCTCATGAGATTAGATGAAACTTTAATGAGTGCTGGGGGTGAGGCAGCAGATAATGGGATGCAGCAAAGAAAAATAAGAATAAAGCCGATGAGCGTCCATCAACTCAACAAAACCATTTGAGCATGCTACAACAGCTAAATAGAAAAAAAAGCATCAAGGATGTACAGAATTTCAACATGTAACCATAAGACAAAGAATAGAAAACAACACAAATATGGGCTAGAACATGACATCATTTGAAACTAAAATAGAATAAAAGAAATGTACTGAATGTGATAGATATATGAGAACAAAAAAGTGTGGTATCC